ATCCACTACGAGGACAGGGGCAGTCTCACAGTTGCAGCAACAGCAACCATAGGACCAGCCCAAACAGCAACAACTCCTCCCTTGTAAGTTTCGTAGATTCTTGCTAGCGGGTACACCTGTTCAACCAAACCCCAGCACAAAGCGAAGCCCACTTGTCAAACGAGCAGTGCGCAAGAGGGATGCAGTTCAATCCTACGTCACTATATGCCGCCTGCACTGGTGCTGCCGCTGCCCGGGGAAGTTCGTCCAGGATCTGGCGGTCAAGTCTGGGGCAGTCAGGCAGGATTTGCGTGTGGGGAACACCGCGTATACACTCACGATTCCTGAGGATCCTCATGCAAAATGACCAACACCATTGTGTAAAGAAAACATGGCACTTAGCCAACTATCCCTGGCTTGGTGGAGACACAGGTTACCTGTTGCCCAGTGTCACCGCGCAACGTACGTCTGTCTTTACCGAGTTGCACAAAGGGACAACAACAGAAACCATATAGTATCTTGGGCTGACTTCCTCGTACCAGATTGGCTATGACAGCCTAACAGGTTGCAGCTTAAAGGCTTGCTCCCCAAAGTGTCCTGCACTGCATACATGTGACGCTTGCAGGCGGCTCACGTGCCTCCTGGCGCGCAACCACAAGGCCAGAGATCAACTGCTCCTGCTCGCATCGCAAGGTCTTCCAAAGAAATGGCTTCCAACACCCAGTTGGCTAGCATGATGCTCTCATGGTGGAGCCTGCCGCAACAGCCGGCACACTGAAAATTCGCCCACACATGTTCGACAGCATCTGCCAACCACAGCATGCTTCGCACTCTGAACTGAACACCTTTTTGCGGGGCTGTCCCGGTCACCCGTAGCCCGGGCATCAGAGTGAAAGTGTGCGAACATGCTCCGAATTCCACGCCCAAGTACGCTTTCGCAAGTGATGATGCCCTTCAAAATAAGAACAACGCTGCCAAGGCCAGCCATGCAATGCAGCTACTGGCACCTGTGATGCAAGGACAAACATGGAACGGAAGAACCAACACGTAGCGCGCTCACTTTCAATTCAAAATAACGAGGGCAAAGCTACCAGCAGTAAAATGGTCTGGGACAGGCAGTCTTCTGCAACTACTGTCTGTTTGATGCTGTGCGCTCAGTTGGTTTGTGAGCTCTAGGGGTTGACTGCCAGAATTCCGTCACTTTGCTAAATGTGTCTTACCTGCGTTCTTTGTATGTATGGGCTCCCCGATATTCCAGGTTCCAATTTCAAAATGCTCAACATTTGGGTCCGCTGCTTACGCCTCAAGTAGGAACCTAGATGTTGAGAAACCGACACAGGTACAGTCAACAAAGGTAATAATATTTAGCAGAGCGACCCAAATTCTGACAGTCAAACCAAGCAGCTAACAAAGTCAATTAAAGCCAAAGCATCAACTAGATGGTCGTCACTCAAGTTACACAAGACTGCCTGTCGCATGATCACACAAGGCTGCTACAACTAGCACTAAGCCAAGTGCTGAAGGACGCGTCTTTCAATGGTAAGCTAGCTCAACACGAACCAGCATGATAAACATTGTAATTCAAAGCCCTTCCCGTGGCCGTGGCCTTGTTGACCTGCTCCTCAAGGCACATGTGGCGAAAGCGCCGATGAGCGCTGGTGGATACATGAATCGTGACCTGAGCAGCTATCGCTTGTGTTTTTTAATGTTGATTCTGTAAGTCTTTGATGCGATGCATGCTCTTAAATAAAAATGTGCACGCAGCAAAGCCAACTAAGAGTGGCAATTATTGGCAGCGCCCTTATCCATCTAACTTAAGCGGCTTGGGCACGTGCTCTCTAGACGCACTGAAATACAGAATTCCAGCAAAGAGGGCAGAGAAAAACAAAGTGCGCTTCCGAAGTCTGATTTCTGTTGCTTCCTATGCCTTGAAGTTGAGACTTCTAGGCTCAGACTTCTGGCTTTCATCCCAGAGCCTTTGCCCAAAGATCAAGGGTCTCTGTGCCTTGTGGCGTGCCTGTAAGAAGGGTATGTACAGGGGATTCTTTTAGGAGATAGCCATCTGGTTTCATCTCCGCTGCTGAACTCTCTTCTGCTGGCTTTCTGGATTGACGGAAACATTGCTGGGGAATTCAGAAGGCGCGGATCGTTCTGCTGAAGATTGAATAAGCTACCGTGCAAGCCCCAAGACAATCATCCATGCATCTGCAGATGCTTGTGGCCTTTGCTGACACCGTATACGCGACAAACCACGGGAACTGAACCCAAACCCTGAAAAATTCAAGAAGCTAGGCTGCCAGCATGAATCTCAAAACATGGCCGATCAGGAGTCGATCCTTAGAAACCTTCAAGGGGTCGGCCTTCAGACCCTAGGCCCCAGGATGTGTACAAAGCGGCACAAGGGATCAGAATGGCGGACACTACGACATGAGTACCTCCCAAAATGGCTGAATCATTGAATCATGTGAATTCAGGACCGTGACACACTGAAACAAACATTTTATATGATGGCAGCCAGGCAGGACCCACATGTTGAGACCCAAACATAAGACCAGTTTACATTCAAATTTCATATACTATTTTTCCGGTTGCTCCTCTATTGGCGGGTAGTATCCCTACATAATCCCTATATGAGACTGCAGATACCCATTGTAATCTAGTAGCTTCCATTTGCTTATCGCTTATCCCCAAATAAAGGCTGTTTCGATGCCCCAGCGTTGAGGTTCCTTTTGCCCGCCCTTGCGCTGTCTTCCACGCATGGGACTTTACATGCACTTCAGGACTTCAAGATAGTTTATACGCATAGACATATCCGCATGCATGAGAAAGTATTTCTTCTCGCGCTGTGAGCTTGCGCACGCACGGGCTTTTGCAACCCCTCACAAAAACCCTGATGCCGAGCGTAGTCTTGCCACGATAGGTAGGACTTCCGAACGGCATCCGTAACACCTAAATAACGTATATGTCCTTGGCCTATAACATATTTCTATATACCCCCTATATCGCCCCACATGTGAAGGAGCTGTTTTTGGGGTCCGGGCCGCTCTCAGTGGCACCTCAACAGGCAGAAGCCCATCGTCCACGCTGCTGTTAAAGTGTGTATCTATACTGCATGTTGAGTGTAATGTGTGTTGGGGTTTAGGGTTTAGGGTAGATAGTTGCAACTGAAGAAGGTAAAACACAGACTCTGAAAGAGGCATTGACAGTGACTGCGAAAATGCTACACAAAGGACCGCCTTAATGGTAGTAACATTAGTTGATAGTAATCACAGCAGTCATGATGATTACAATATACATGATAAGTCATAACCGCCAGGAGAAAAGAATGATGATACGAGTAACGGTACCCGAGGTCTGCTCTCACACCTGTTCCAAATCCCATATACCGGGCACCAATGGTAGATCTCAGAAGCTGAGCAGCAATGTGAATGGAACGAGCCACAGTACATCTCTGTGGTAGAAGCTCCGCCTCACAGCGACCGTCTGCTGAGCTGCCGGCAACCAGGTATGAAATCACAGGTAGCCTTTGATGCATGTCACCACCTGCCATGCCACACAGCGATCAGGAGGAGCAGGAGCTTAAGGTGAGCTAAAGGTAAAGGCAAAGATGGCGAAGCAATTCCACAATCAGTCCCGGCTTTGAACCTGCCAGGAGCCCAACGACGGTGCTTCTCAGAACAAATTTCCAACCCACTTTGCTAGCCGAACAGAGCCGAACAGTTTGGGACTGCACCTTGGATTTGGCTCAGACGCATTACCGAACCCACAAGCATGCAAGGCTCGCTTTCCGCAGGACAAATGCGTCCGAAGGATTTCCGAACGAAGGCTTAAGATTTCTTCCGTCATCGCAGCACTGCACAGAAGAGACACAAGCGAGAAGGCACTATTCGGACAGCTGTGTGTGTCTCAGGTTTGCGCAATGTTGACGGGCTGGCAGATGATGAACTTTATAAACCATTGTTTGCGCAGTTTGCGGGCTGGTAGAATTGCGGACTGTCTGTATTGGCGTCAAAAGGGTGCCACTGCAAATCTCACCCAAAAGCAGCTCTTATGTGGAAACTACCGCAAGCTGTTCCCCGTGTTCCCGACAGTCGCACGCTGGATGTGAGATACTTTCGTGGATTCCTTCCACGCTGAACTGATGAAAAGTGTGCACCATGGGCGTCGTTGCTGCCAAGAGCCAGATGGCCAATTCAATCTCAAAAGCAGGACGTTGGCGCTGAATACTGCAAGGTGCACTGCAAGGGTGGGAAGTATAGGGAAGATGGATGAGCACATAGTGTGACGTCTAAGCTTGAATGAGAAAGGCCGACTCTTTTCGGAGTGCTTTACAAAAATGCAGGAGAGAAAAGAATTCCACCAGACTCCACATCCAGCTTGGCCCGCGCAGAACTCAGGCAATCCATTTTCTGCCTCTGCGCACGTTGCGGGTTTGGGTCAACTGAACAAGGACAATGCGACTCCTTTGGGCAAGCCCCCCACTTAGCTTTCTGAACCTTTCTGGAGGCAAATTAAACTTTAGATATACACCGGAGGAAGGGAAACAAAATATCATGGCAACCATGGCGCCGTATAAAACAATGAGCACCAGCCAGTAACGCCATGTGAAAACACAAACCCGGACTTTTGAATCCTAACCCCCAAGGCCTCAATCCCAACCTTCAAACCGCGTCCGCCGAACTCATGGCACTCTTACCCATATCCGAGGCAAAGACATGTGGTCTTGAAGAAATTTGTTTTGCTCTTTCAGCATTGGGGGGAACTCAAGATCTGGTGCGAAGCCCCTTCTGAATCCGATGTTCACCGCAGCTACGATAGACTAATCTTGTGATATGACTGTTCTGGCCAGAGCCGGAGCTCGGAGAAAATTCTGATGGGATAACAGCTTTTGACTGAGCCTTTAATCATTCACGTCACAGGCGGGCTTTCCAGAACAGCTTATTCACGGCGCGAACTGTATGGCATACAACGAGACTTCTTGAATCAACTTGACTCTTTCTATCAATGGGGGATCGCCGTTGTCACTGGAAAATTGCTGGCCCCTTCTCGCGGAGTTCGCTGAGGCCCGCCTCAAACAGGACGCTAGAGCAGCTCTTGGAGTTGTTGCGTCCTCAACTTCATAAAGACTATCTCATCTTACAACGCTTTGGGTGGTTTTGAAACTGTGGTCTTCCCCTGAATTTTAGGGCATTTTCACAACCTACCATATAGGCAAGTCAAGACGCTCGTGGCAAATGGTCCCTAGCTGACTTAGGGGACTCTTTGGCCGTTACAGTACATCAATGTTTGGTATGGCATAATATGGCTAAGCCGTAAACCTTCAGCAACAAAAACTCAACTCTAGTCAACTGCATGCAATACCCGAGGAGACTTGCAGATCGTTCCTCCATGGGCCATATATGTCCATGCCATCAGTCCATGGCATTTCATGCGCATCCCTTTTCACCTGAAAGAGCACCAGTTCGCCCCCTTGAGATCACAGCCCTTTCAATCTGCTTCCCTGCAAGGATCCTCATATCCCTACTTGAAATCATCGATGCCCCTGCCGCTGCCTTCAGCCGCCTTGCTGCCTCCTCGCACTTTGCAGGAGCCAGGTTGGCGTAGCACACTCGAATCTCGCCCGGAGCGCCTCGGCTTCTGATGTTGGGAGACATGTGGAGACTAGACGCTTTGTAGTGCCCAGGAGGGGCTGCTCTTGTCCAGGATTTTATGGGGTCTTGTAGTGGCTATGGTTGAGTCTTGGGGTGTGAGGAAGGACTTCGGTTGTTTTAAGGGCCATTTTCCATCTGACAGAACGCAAGGACACGGGTGCCTCACTACATATTTTTAGGGAGAGGAGGAAGAAGGTCGGCACAAGGGTGTCCTTTTCAGCGTGAAGATTGTTGAGGAGGTTTACACGCGATTGTCCTTAGGTCTCTTGAAATGTTTTGCGGAAAGTGCATAGATAGAGAGTGAGTTGCTTTAAAAGGGTGACTGCAGTGCACAGCGATTTCAAAAGCAAAGCCTCGAGGGCATGTTTCAGGTTGGCCAGAGATCCTAGCTGAAGGGCAACTCGAACCAGCCAGCTTTTCACCGAAGACCTTCAGTGGAGCCCTGCCCTGACAGGAATCCCTCAGATCCCCAAATAAAACCTTGCAGACACGTGGCCACAGGCGGATCCAGGAATGGCGCAAACGCGATGCCTTAGTAGCTCTCGGGTGTTCTGAGTTTCTCCGAAAGTCGGGTCTCCCTTTTGAGTTCATTGATTCGTGGAACCCGTTGTAGCTTGGATATTCCCGCTGTTCCTGTTCAGTGTTGGAGGGCCCACCATACTTTGTAGACTGCCGCATGTGATGCATGTTACTTGCAGAAGTTTCGATGGATCCCTGCATGTTGGGACCAGGCTGATGTTCAAAACCCTGTGTGACCCGAACCAAGCTAAACCATGGGAGTTTTGAATGCTTACTCTTCGGCAGCTTTTCGGGACTTGTGGTGATACAGTCCACAGTCAAAGTCATGTTAACATCTTCCACACTCCCCAAAATCAGTGGATCTGGGCGTTATTACAATTTGGGGACTCGCCCCTCCCTGATATTGTCAAGCCTGGCCAGTGACGGGAAAAAGGAGGTCTGAGCTTTCGACTTCTCGCTGAGCCATTCCACTACCTGCGTGTCCTTGGTCCAGACTTGTGGATCAGTTCATCTCTCATTTGCTGTTGGAACATCTAAGTAGGATCCACTTCTTGAAGGGAAGCCTAGAGATCCTTCAACAATGCACCGCCTACTCCTGGAATGATCAGTTGGCAACAGTACCTAAATTGGATCAAAGCCAGCCCTGGGCATCCGCGCGTTCTCAAAGCCCTTCGGCAGCTTGGCCATGAGATAGATGGCGCCGGAACCCCCTGTTGAAAGAAATTTGGCTCTTCGAAACAAGAGTAAGTAGCACCAGCGCAGGAGCAGGAGGAGGATGACGGATCAGAGCAAGGACGGGCGGCAGCGCTAGTTGGTGGCAGTAACAGCATCACTGCTAAGACCAGTCCAAATTTCACAGGAGTGGCACAGAAGAAACACAAAGGAAATGTGAGACTGGTACAATCATGCATGTCTTCAATCCGGCGTGTTTTGAAGTTCACTACACGGAAAAAATCGGGCGTCGTCTGAGAAGTCATGTACAGCGATGGCAGGTGCGGCAGGACTCGTGTCAATGACGTGTTGCGAAGCCTAAACCCTGAAATATGGCTGGCGCTTTGCCCTTGGCATGCTTTCTCTGAACTGCTGAGGTCCCGGCCCGCAACGCTGCCAGGGCCTCAGAAATTTCTGCACTCTACTATCCAGGCACGTACTTAGCTCGATGCTAATCTACTGCTGATGGACACAACCCTGCACAGTCCTAGACGCCTAAACCTGCAAATTTTGGTAGCAGCAAACGGATATGAAAGGTGATTTAGGATTTACATGGATTTACCTGTCATCTGTTTCAAGTGGTTGTCAAAATTATAGTCCCGTTTCCCTGTTGGGGTACCCAAAATATTCGGGGCCGTATCATATTTGGCCAACAACGGATTACAATTTTGACAATGTACCATCAGAGGCTGGAGTTTGGCACTCTCACAACCGTCTCTCATCATGGATTCCTTTCTAGGTAGGTATATCACGAAACACTAGCTAATGTTATCCAGAATAGCAAAACTATGTAAGGGGATAGATGGCTAGTGCTTTCCAACCTAGCTTCCATTGCTGTACCCCTTGCTTCAAAAACCTCAGCATGGCAGATGGAACCAGAACGGGGGGTCCACAATCTTGAGAAACCCCAAAAAAAGTTCTCGATGGTATCCCGAGTGTCTGCGTTCTGAGAGCACAGCCCAGTGTCTCAGTCAGGGCTTGGATCACCAACCGCTTGTTCTCTTTAAGGCCACGAACGCGCTCCTGCCTGGGAGCATGCTACATTGGGATGTTGAAGCTTCATATGTGGCGATGTTGCTTTGCGCTGACTAATTTCCCAGCCTGGCAAGAGGTGCTATGCCAGCAGCTAATTAATTGCTATCAATTTGAAAACAGTCATCATCTTGAGGCCCAGCAATTCGGCTGCACTGCATAGACATGCTGCTGCGTGGATGAGATAACATGTAAAACCATCATCTACACGAAGCCCGCGCATCCAGCTTGCTGAGCGTTGTAGAGCTAGGCATTTGAAATTTACCAGCTGACGAGGACCCTTCTTGACCTTGCCGCAGGCCTAAGGTAACCTTCGCGCACGCAATGCAATGCAGAAGCGTCAGCCAAAAGCCCACCGAACGCAACTCCCAACAGCAATCATGATCATCAATCGAAGGGACCAAGCGGCAAGCCAGTATTGACAACGAAGATGCACAATTCCAGGCCCTGAACCCTGCGCCAGGAACTCTACGGAAGAAATGTCCAATACCTAGCATAACATAATAGCATAATATAACGTAACACAGGAAATTCGGAGACATCTGAAAGTCTTGACCAACTTCTTACAAGATCCCAAACCCTCTTAGTCCCTGAGTTCTCCTTCTAGCCGTTATTAACTCCTTCCTGCGAGACGTAGGATAGCTACAGTTACCACCCATACAAATGCAAGAACTTAGAACCAACCCTCCGCGTAGCGAACAACAACGCTCTGAAGCTCGTAATATCACAAACCCTAAGCTCCAACTCCCAACTTCTCTGAGATTCTTACACCCACTCGCGGCCAGCTCCCAGAGCTGCCAAGGCTACCTGTGTGAAGGCTAAGGGCATCGGGGGCCTTTTGTGCTGAGACAGCTTAGGGTAAAAACAGTTTCAGGGGAGCACGAAGGATTAGAGCTGAGGATGTAGGGCCTTGGATGGAGGCTTTCAGTGCTTTGGGCTCAGGGTTCGGGATTTTGTGCTGGGGTTCAGGATGCTCAAGATTCAGAATGCGAGGAACCCATGGCATGTAGAGACTTTTCAAAGGGCTGGCCATTCTGAGCGTCAGGTCTGATAAGACAGGCCCCACTTACCATGAAACCAGAACACCATTATAAACTATATATAACGCGGTAATGAGGGCTCACATGTTCAGCAAAAGATTGGTCTGGTTCTATCGGTCCAGATGTCCGACATTGCGCCCTGGCCTTCTGTGACACCACTGTCGGGCAAATCGCAATGGTGTCTTGGACCTGGAGTTCCCGAATACCCAGAAGCTCAGCGCTCAAAATCAGCTTCAAAAAGCAGCTGAGCCATCCAAGCAAGCTTTCGCGTCTGCAACTGGATGCACATAAATCCGATCACCATGCACTCAAATACACTGCTGATGGGAGAAGAAGCCTAGACATAGAGTTCATGTCTTGCATCAGCTTGGAAAAAACGTTATGCTTACCATCCTGATTGGCATGTTCGTTTTCATGCTGCTATGACTACGAATTTATAGTTGTTCTTCGTGGTCGTTTCCAGATTTGTTCGCTGTCTTGATCATTTATCGACAGTCACAAGAAACGAACTTGCAAGGACTGAGGGTAAGGCTTTCATGAGCTCCGGTAGCAGGCTTGGAGGAAACGCCTTAACAGCTGAGCCACGAATTTCCCTAAGGTTCGCATGGTTCGCTCTAGGGGTTCAGTGTATCAGGCTCAGGGAAACGGTAGAGGAGGAGAGTAGCTCTTGGTCTCACGAATGAGATGAAGGTGGATGGATACTGAACAAAGACGGCACTTCTTCAGCCGCAATTCCTACCCGACAAAACTTTCTGCTGTGCCTCCTTCAGTGCTGAGGAAAATCCCTGAGTAGTTCCAGGTACTACTATGGCCTGTGGGACCACAATGTTGGAAACCACCCTGATGGAAGACCATCAAAGCTGGCACTCCGCATGGGTGATGCATCCTTCTGCCCTGGTTCAAAGGTTTAGTCATCTGGCTCCCTCCTCTAGCCAGGGTCTGTATGAGGACGTCATTCCAGAAATCGCATCCTCGATTGTGGAAACTTGTAACTTCGGACCCTGGGCCGGAATCAGGAGCACTCTGAACGACCTCCAGTAGTAGCATCTTTAGGAAAGGGACTCAAAATTCAACCCATAACTTTGAGAAACACCGTTAGGGGAGTCTGGGCCTGCCTCAGCTCGTGCCATGTAAGGAGAAATGCTAAGATTCAGGCCAAGTAGCCTGCACCACACAGCTCTGAAGAAATCCGAAGATTTTCCTAAATCTATGCCAGACTGAGGCCTCGGGGAAGGATCAGTCTGGCAGAATCCAACACTCACGTTGCAAGGGCTGCCAGGGTTAGGGCTCTCCAATTCAATGTGGCTGAGGCTCGCAGTGGGCTTGAAACTGACAAACGACTCCGACAGACGGCGCGCCTACACGCCACCCCATCATTCCGAAAGCCTGCCGTGGAACAGTCGATTTCGCAATCAAGGTGGAGGGTTGAAGTTTCAGAGTCATTTTGGGAATTGCCACCTCCGCCAGTTTTTGCCACAAGATGATGACTGCAACCTCGACTGAGCCAACTGCTACACAGAAGTTCTTAACTACCGTCGTCTGTCAGAAAGGCCAATTCTCTTCCGCAACATGGAGATCGGGGCTCTAATTTACTTTTCATTTGATTCTCCAGCCTTGCTAAACGAGAAGACGTTCACCACGTGGTCTCCACTGACGCAGGTATGGGAAGGGTGGCCATCCTGTCACAGAAGGCTGGCCGCTCAGTAGGCAGTTAATTGGTTTATGTTGTTCATGGGGTTAATATGTTTTATAGGGTTAGGGTTTGAGCTCCCGCCTACTGTAGCCCACGCAAGCAGCCAATGAAATCTGGCCAGAATCGATAATGGAAGCGGGTGGACATTGTTGAGCGACTGCAGGAATGCAGTCCAGAGAAGCCGCAAAACCGCGCACAATGCCCTTCGTTGCAGGATTGGGGTGAGCAATTGAGGAAGCGAGGCTGCCACAAGACCCCAGGATGCAATGAAGCCCGCCCCCGCATCCGGATCTTTTTCCGTGGGCACTGTGTGATCCTGTCATGTACCCAGTCGCTGCAGACAGCGCGCATGATCAAAAGACCGTTGACAGGTAGTAGGGCTGGGCATCTTGCTGCTACGTGCAAGAGAAAAGCAGGTGGAAAGCACGTGAGTGCACCGCGAGTGCTGTGAAAGTGTGCAGCGCAGCTGACAGCATATAGGCAAGTGGCGTGAGCGCAGCGTGAAAGCAGAAGCGAGGCAGAGCACCGCGCGTAATGCAGTAGCATGCCGAGCACCAGATGAACCTGGCATGACTCCCAAGCCCTAAGCTGCTCTTAAGATCAACCTGAGGCTTGAGAGGCCGATAGTTGATGAACTCTCGAGTGAACTTGATGATACTGACGAGCTTCACCTCCTCATCTAAGAATCTACCGTATACAAAGCTGATGTAGAAGTTGCGCAGGCTGCCTCCTCGTAGGTGAAATGCTCATAGGTGTTATCCATGACGAGCCAGCATTTGTGCTTCTCGCACAGCGCAGAAAGCCGATCCAACCTTCAGTGCATCTGTCTACCCCGCCGTCTTGGGCGCGAGTGTACAGGCTACATGGAGCTTATGTAAGAGCCCTTTCATGTATGTGAAGCTGTGTTGAAGCCCCTTGATTGATGTTTTGTGGGGAGGTACGCGCACCACTCGGATCTGAAACTCAGTGACCCTAGGAGGCACCCATCATGTGAGTTTTCGACGTTCCCTCCCAGAGAGACGCCTACCATGGCTGCTGATGATCAGGTATCATAAGCCTGCGGGCGTATACGTTGTACAGAGAGGCATCAACGTGAAGGCAGCTTGGCCGATGGCGTGGCTTTGGGAATGATCATCCCGGTGGGATTGCCAGGATTCACCTCGGAGGAAGATAGCTTACTTTTATGTATGAGAATCATCAAAGTAGCTGGCTGTCCCAAGGAAGGCTCATGTAGGGGGAGACTTGGAGAAACATCAGTGTTTGTGCAGCGATGTTGGGTTGGAAGACATTTCCATGACCTTTAGCATGATCAGTCTGGAGTCTGGAGCACCATGCAAGAACACGAATGCAGAATTCCTGTTTCTTTCGCGGCGTCTAGCGTCCGCTGGCCTCCGCCCCAAAAATCATGCATTGAAGCCTTTCGCGTGCCACCCTCTCAACCAGGAGTAATTACTTATGAAGCCATCCAGCCGCCCAAAGGTCAAAGCAATCCGGGCTTGAATGCAGCAGGGCTGTAGCAATTGATGTCTGCAGCGCCGTATACAAAGGAACACAAGTGAGCCATTGGAATTCTCACTCGTTCATCTTGCAAAGCATCATGCCGGGCATGAGCCCAGTGCATGGATGGCCGTAAACTCCCCACACGCAGATGAAAATCCCTCTTGCCTCACTCATTTCGCTTGCTCAGGAATTGCCAGCGGGAAGAAGGAGACAGGAGCTGATGCCCTGATCCATGAGCCACCTGGCCAAATCCGGGTGGTCCAAAGGTCCCTAGTTGCAAATGCAGGGTCTCCGGGCCCTTTATGATGGCCGGAGTCCCGATTCCTTTCGACGAAGTACTGGGTAGCCAGGGCAGAGTCGCGGTCCAAGCCCAAGGTCAGCTATATGTGGTCGTTGCTTCCGATGGAGAAGCCATTGAAGGAACTCGGCCAGGAAGACGTAACTGGGCAGCTCAGCCATCATGTTCACCTTCAGCCCATCCTTTCTGCACTTGGAGCCATTCTTATCCAGCACCTCGTTGACATCCCAGCCGTGTCCAGAGTGCGCACGAACGGGATCACGATTTTCACATTCTTCAAGTCCATCTCACCCTGCACCTCGAAGGACCGTTGAGTGTAGCGGCCGCAGCCTGGGAAGCCAATCATGGGGTTCTCCACATCAGGCTCATACTGCTGGCCGAATTTCGCCGATGATGCGCTTGGCATAGACGGGCGCAGCCAAGGTTGCCACACCCTCCGCAAGCGCCGCACTCTTGTTGATGTAGAACTGTAGAGAACTCCTTGGGCTAACGTATCCCCGCAGGCGCTGATCAACTAAGTGCCTTGTGCTCACCATCCAGGGTGTCGCAGTTAAGCAGCGCCTTGGGGTGCACCCCAAGCGCATTGTTGATGACGGACTCGAAGCGAGTGAAGCCGATGCCCTCGCTGAGAAGCTGATCAAAGCTGAAAACCGTCTCTGGGTTGCTAATGCTCAGCATGATTTTCAAGCTTGCCTCTGGAAGCTGGCTAAGGTTCTGCACGTTCTTCTCGAGCTTAAGCTCACCCGTGAAGATCATCCAACCCGTAGGCTGAAGTCCCGAAGACCATGTCACGGAAACCGCACTCTGCGCAGGGAGAATGACGCACCGGCGAAGCAGTTGTGACGGTATGCAGTTGCAAGGTCTTTGAACCAGGAGGCAAACAACACGTGCACCTTCTCCTTCTTTCCCCTCTCCACTGGAGCAGAGCAATTTCATGGGAACTGTGGCTACCGACTTTCCTGCCCACAGGCGATTCGAGCCCTCGCAGAATTCCTCAAATGCAAACGGCCTCATGATCCAAGAAATTGCATTTCAGTATCAGCCACATGGAACATTATCCCTGCTGAAGGCCTACAAAGCCCAAAATTCCCAAACCTTAATGTGTCGGAACACCAGCCAAAAACAAAGACCATCTTCTCTTGCACATGCCCATCTACTCCTTTTGAGTAGCTGAATGCTCAAAGCAGCTTAAGGCTCTCTGGCTTAGCCGTCGGCCACGGTGACCATGCGAATTCTTTCGCCGGCTGGTGGCTCGCTAAGCCTGCTTTCTTACCTCTTGTTTGCAGGGAATGAAGGACCAGGCCCCCATAACAGTTCCTACAACAACCTTGTTCTTGAGCTTGCGGACATAGTTCGCCCTTCGGTAGATATGACGCAAGGGATGAAGGATAGCTGCTTGGATCTCCTATTTTGGAGGTATGTCTGCTTCGGGAGACTGTATATTCCTCCGCGCCAGGAACTCTAAACAACGGTGCCCCACCAAGAGCAGAATCCCTCCATGGTCCGCCGAAGGTGACGGAGAAAAAAAACTTTGGCTGGGTTTTGGCAGCAAGGACCATTCTATGTCTACCGTAGATGCTAGCTTGCAAAGATGTCGCAACATGTTACAATCATAGCTGTTCTTACCACCTTCTGGCTGATGAGCGTCGTGAATGTGAAGCTCCGAGGGTCATGCACGGTGTTTCAGAGTAGCATATGTGCTTGGGGTGCATGGGGGAACATGGGGGAACCAGTGCGCCCGAGAATCACGCTTCAAGCAACATCAGCCGAAGTAAACACACATGAACGCCATTGTGACCTCAGCTGCGGCTGGAGGCATAACCCGGCCTCTTCTCCAGCCAGTCCACATCCGGAAGGTACTCCTTCCATGACACCACCCCTAACTTTCAATGCCCCCAGAATGATAACTCCCTACATCACCATGCAGGCTCATGCAACAACCCGCAGTGGCACTCCTTGGTGCTGGGCGCCAGCACCACCGAAGCATGGCCTCCCGTCATCTGAAGGGCCATCCTCAGAGTCTAAGGAATCTATGACATAGGACACC